GACTACAGGCGCCCGCCACAACGCCTGGCCATTTTTTGGTTGCAGCCATCATTGTTGTTTGGCGGCCCGGGCTGGGGATTCGAACCCGCCACCTTGGGTATATGTGGCTGGAGCCTTAGCCGCTTGAGCCACAGGTGCCGAGCCGGCAAATTGTGTTCTTTAACACTTTTGAGTAAATGTTCAGATTTAAAATTGTTTTAAGATCCTAGTATTTGGCTAGGTGCCCATAGTACAGTGGTTGTGGCGCTAGCCACCTACACCGAGGCTGGTGGGTTCTGAACCTGGCCAAGGCCAGCTAAACTACAACAACTGGAACAAAAAAATAACCGGGCGTTGTGGTGGGCACCTGGAGTCCCAGCTACTAGGGAGGCTGAGGCAAGAGAATCGCTTGAGCCCAAGAGTCTGAGGTTGCTGTGATGCTATGACACTCTACTGAGGGCAACAAAGTGAAACTGTGTCTCCAAGAAAAAAAAATAGAATATCTGTGTGGAGTTTTGTTTATAGATAATAAGACTATAAAATTTAATCATCCAAAGTAATGGGCAGTAATGTTGCTCTGTTTACTAAAGATATACTCTAAGTTGTTCCATGGGTGCACACAGACACACGGACACACAAATCGTTGCATTATGGACCCTGAAGCTATGTTGCACAGCATAGTTGAACCTGCTGTTTCAGTCAGGAGGAATGCTACCTGTCATGAGGATATAAAGTAATTTAGTAATGAATGTTTTTCTCTACCATCCATGTGTAATTACATCCCAAATTCCACAACACTACATGAACATTCCAGAATAAAGATGTGATTCTATAGTCTAAACTAATTATTAATAACCAATGATTACTGAAAAAAAAAAGGCAGCCACATGGAATACAGACACATGGGGTGAGGCCACGTGACAATGGAGGCAAGACTGGAGGGACTCAAGCGGCTAAGGTGCCAGCCACATACACCCAAGGTGGCGGGTTTGAATCCCCAGCCTGGGCCCGCCAAACAACGATGGCTGCAACCAAAAAATGGCCAGGCGTTGTGGCGGGTGCCTGTAGTCCCAGCTACTTGGGAGGCTGAGGCAGGAGA